CTCTCTCTCTCTCTCTCTCTCTCTCTCTCATATATGTTTCCACTTTATTATTTCCTGTCTCTCAATCTCCCCCCACCCCCACTCTCTTTTTCATCTCTTCTCTCGTTCATCCCCCTTTTCTCTCCATTTCTCCCTCATCCTCCCTTTTCCCCTCTTCCCTTTTTTCCAATCTTCCCGCCCTCACTTCGTTCATCTCCACTTTCATCCTATCCTGTCTCTTTCTCTCTCTCCTCCTCTCCTGTTGCTCCCTCCTTCCATCCCCCCTTTCCTTTCCCTTGCCTCTTCTTCTTTCCCTGTTTCCCTATCTCCCACTCTCTGTCCTTTTCCTCCCTCCCTGCCTTTCGTCTTGAGAGAACCAATGCCATAGTATAAATCAGGGATTCTTAACCAAGGGGATGTACCTCTTTTGTAATATCTTGGTGGAACATTGGCCAATACTGAGATGGATGTGAAACCATGCAAATGTACTGCCTTTACTAACTCAAGTTTTCTGTAGTCATAGGCTTCCAACTTTTTATTAATCCCTCTCCCAATCCTTCAAAGCCCTTGAGGGGGTGGGGGGAGGAGGATTAATTAATATGGAACTATGTATTTCTTTCTTGTTGGTGAACTCCACTCCCTCCTTGTCTTCTTCAGTAGAGGGTAATTAGATCTGGTTTACTCAGGTGTTACATTTACGAAAAGAAAGTTAATAAGCATCCATAATTTCATTATGTGCCGTGAACTAGCACATGTTGCCCTGTTTCTTATTCACAAGTTTTGAAGTTTGGTTGTATTTTATTTTTAAAATCTAGAAAAGAATTATTTGTACAGATGCAAGGGGAGCTTGGAGGAAGGAACTAATTTCTAGAAGGGTCGTGGTTGTAAAACGGTTTAGAACCACAGGTAAGATCATCTTTTTGGCAGGTTATTAGAGAAAGGAAACAAGTTAACCCCTAGCCGACAGGTGGCATATATGTACATGCCATGGCTGTTGTGGACAGAAACACGGATGGCATCGTATCATGCCCATTCCCGTGCCCCTGGCTCATCGGACAGTTTGTTTTTCTCCGATAGTAGCGGCTTCATACATATGGTAAAGATTTTAGGCAATGGCACTTATAATGAGGGTAAACCTTCAGAATTTTAATATTTTTATAAATTAAAGCGAAATAAAAGCTTTTAGGTCCTAAATGTCGCTCGCAAACTACCGATTGAGCCGGGCGCAAACGGGAAACTGTCGATGCGCGCCAACAATCCCGTTCTTACGTCCACTTGCCAAACATTTTTACCCGTAGGCACTGGATTAACTATAGAGAAATGATACAGAGGAAGGTATATATTTTTCACTAATATCAAATGCTTTGATATATTTTCATTGATATGTTTTATTGAATGCTAGTGTAATTGAAGAAATGAATGGGAGACTGGATGTTATTGGAAAAGATTACATATTTCTGTTTTAGTCCATTGGCATTGGGTACATGTACTCTCCACTGAGTTTTTGCACACACACAGCTTCACAAGTTTTCTACCACAAAAAGGTCAGTTACTAAGCCCTACCATGACCTCACCTGATTTCCCTGTTTTGTGCATTTTTGGGATTCCCCCCTAATGTTATCAATATCTATATTGTTATTTCTTTTGGCACTGATTATTTTAAGCTTATTAAAATGCTAATAGCTCTGTAATGGTGATGAGTAGCAAAATAAAAAGGAAAAAAATTGGTTTGCTCTCACTTTCACATAGCAAATTCCAGCCTCTATGATTTTCATTTTTTTAATTTTAGTTATATCCAGTGTATGTGCATATTGGCAGGCTTCTAGTATATCACCTTGACAGTATTGCTTTTTTTAGGGTTGCAAGTGATTTCCTCATTATGTTGAACAGTTGCTTTTGCTCATTACAACTACAATAGGCATGAGGGGACAAAATGTGACCATTATACAGGCTCTTCTAAAGGGTTTATGGAATTTAGTGGAAGGACTGTAATAGTTTTTCTTATGGAATGTGATTAAAAGGTTATGATCTGTATTTGAGTGTTATAGAAATACTATAGCATTAGAAAAAAAATGAAAATTCAAGAAATGCAGATATTTGAGGTTATGTAGGCTTACTAATTGGCTCCATGGCGAACTAGTGCATTTGGAGTCATTTATGTTTAAAAAGAAAAAAAATACATGGACAGTGCACCTGCCAGTGCCAATTGGTTAATAAGTAGAAATGAAAATGGCAAAATCGCCACAAAAACGCATGTTGCTTTCCCTGTTTGTGTGCGTGCAAATCCTCGTATGTTCTTATCATGAAAGAGGTCAATATCTAGGATTTTTCATTTATTATTTTCTACTTGGAGCATGCCAAAAATAAGTCTAGACATGCAATATTTGTGTGTATGTACCTACTTATTTTCTAGTATGTAAACAGGCATATGGTTATATGCACATTTTATTTGTTTACAGATATCTATCAATATATAAACATTAATATGTAAAAGACATGTACTTTTGCTTTCTCTCTCATTTTACTCTATTCCAGTTTATTTTGATATCACCTTCCTTTTTCTTCATAATGTTCTTTTTATTTCAGGACCTTTATTGTGTACGAAGCGACCTGGGTAATCTTTTAAAGGCCCTTGGAAGATTAGATGAAGCAAAGGTATGTGGTTTTAGTTATGCTTTGAGACGGGCCATCTTACGCCTTACCTTCTGTTTCCACCAAGTAAACTCTGAAGCAAGAACATCCTCTTCCTCTTCCCTCTTTAGGATTTACCATAGATGAATGCACTTCTCATTGAGTTCCCATCCTTGTGCTTTTATTCCTATTCCTTGTTGTCCTCCCCCTCCTTTTCCTCTTCCCCTGCATCCTCATGTCACCAATCTTTTTCTGATATGCGACACTGAAGGTAGCTTGCTTAACTTGGATCTAGTCAGTTGGTAGTTTACACATATTCTCTCCGTAAATGTAAAGGAAGACTACGTAAAACCATACTGCATTTTTCTTCCTATTAATCTCTT